TGCCCGCATTTTGGCATTGAAGACGACACAGGATGCCATTTTTAAAACTTTTTAAAACAGTTCCAAGATGTCTTAAACTTGTCTGTGCCGTGTTTTTCATCAACGCACGCAAATCACGAATTGGAAAAGACTTGATTTTTTTTTTTTTTTTTGCCTCGCGCAAATCAGCCTTTTTTGGGGGGGTCCAATCTCATGCAAATGTGCCACGACTCAGTGCGAGGCCCAAAAACATAAAAGCCAACAGAGCGTATTTTCACACATGGAGGCAGCACTTCGTCGACACGTAAGGTGGCACTTGTCCGCTCGACTTGTCCGCTCGAGAGGCGCAGGCGCTGCCCCACTATAATTTTCGTTCCTATGTCACCTTTATGATTCACGCCGCGTTCCTTGGCGCATGCCCCGCCCTTCCCAAAAATGTTCCATGTTGTGCCATTCGGCAAAGAAACAAAGTGGAGATGAAAAAAAACAAAAACGATTGATGCATGAATAGAAATTTGTGAAATGGCACATGGGACAACCTCGAGAGCTCAAAGTGCACGCCCGTGTTGCAATACGTTCGGCGATGTTGGAATGTCTTGAATTCCAGAGAGCTCCCCTTCCGCCATGCGTGAAAGTACTTGTCAGACCGGCATGGCAGTAGTGGGTGGGAACTGAGGCCGGCCCATCTGGATGATGGGCCGGCCTCAGTTGCGCGCTGTGCCTCCGTGAGCGGAGGGAGAGAGGAGAGGAGCCGGAGGGGGGGAAAGTCAACGAAAGAGTGGAATACTGTATCACGCACGACTTTTACGGTCGGGATTAGAGAGGAGGAGGAGGAGGGAGAGGACGCTGCGGTGGACTTTCGCCCTTCCGGCACGGACTCGGTCGGGGCCAAGGCGGAATGGAGGCCAACGGCAGCGGCGGGACGCACAGTGAGTTGGATGGCGCACGGATTTACAACCCGGTTGCACTTGGTGTACACCAACGCACAAGCCCACAGCAGGCTTACCGATTGGAGGCTTGTTGCAATGGCAATCTTAGTCAATCTGAGTGCCGGGGAGGGACTGAAGCGCTTGAGTACCCGTCCCCCGTGGCTTTCATGATAGGGAGTTGACAAGAGCGAATTCCAAGATTTTGCTTCCAAATACACAGGTCATAATGCCGTACTCAACTGTGGAAATACATTCAAATAGTTTCAGTTTTCTGGATTTGGGGGGCGGGGCGGGGCTAAAACCGGGCCCAGCGACACACTTTCGCACCTTCCTTAGCGGCAGCAGTTTTTCCGGCACAATCCCCACGTGCGGTAAGCTAGCTAGCCATGTCTACACCTCAAAAATACACCGTGCCTTTTGATAGTCCACTCGTACTGTCGCTTTAGAGTGCCTCGTTGTACTGGTGCGGCTACTTTGGAGCGCCTCGTTGTCACAATGTGGAAAAGCCCTATGACAATCCAGTGGCGTATATTCCTGCCCCTGCCCTTTTTTCAGATAGTTTTGTGTCTCAAACATGCCGCTATGTGGAGAAGGATAAGAAATATGTAGCCATTTCCAGTGCGAGTAGTTTTGACGACACGTGACAGCCGACAGTTGAACCGGGCGTGGTTTCACACATTTAACCGTCAAGACCACAGTGTTTGAGAGCAGAGAGAAAGGCTTGATTTTTCATGGTTTTGGGTGTGTCTAGCACAAAAATTATGTTTCCCCCCCCCCTTTGTGTGTTTAATGTGGAATAATTAAATCTAAGCACTTCCCTCCCAGCGGTAGGAGGGGCATTTTAAGGGCATTGGTGGAGTGGATGATTATGCTTATTTGCCTATTTAAAAATGCTTCCATGTAATAAATATATGAAACAACAGTCGCCTATTGGAGATAAAAAGAAAAAGATGCAGACGCTGGACGAATTTGAGCTGCCTTTGTGACCGTTTGTTCCCGCCCTGGCCCTGGATTTAACATGTCCCAACTTTATGATTGCAACTGCAGTCAACGGGACGCATAAACAACAACAAACAGACTAAATAGAAGGGCAAAATGAAAGCCAAGTAAATTGAAGACATGATGGGAGTACAGTACAAGTTTTGAGAGCGGGCGGAGCAGATGGAAGATAATTTCCATGGATGCTTCGTGGCCCGCTATGATTTTCCGTCTCGTGACGGTGTTTTTAGTCTCGTCCGTTTTGGGTTTTTTTTGTTTTTTTTTTTAGCTCTTCTGTCGTCATCGCAAGGGACTCGTGTGCTCTTCGGTCTCACGACACTTGACTCGTTGACGCTCTTGTTACGAAGCGGACGCGATGCCGGCGCCCGTCGAGCCTGCGGCAGGCGACCAAACGGGTGGTCCAAACGGACTCCGATGACGCGCACTTTCCAAGACTTTTGGGTCGGCGCCCCGACATCGCGGCGACGAGACGAGGACTCAACTCGGACCCCGCCCAGTGACTCTCGGACACGCTCTTCGTTCCCGCACGCCCCCGCGGTCCAAGAATCCGTGGCCGTAAGCCGCGCGATCGCTTTTGTCGCGCGATGTCTTGCTGGGAGTCAAGAGCGAAAACGAGCCCGTCGGGGGAGAAGGCGCGGCAGGAGCGCGCGAGGAGAGCGGCCCGAGAGAACGGCAAACTTCTCGGTGAGTGGCGATCCCCGGACCGCCGCGCCGAGCCGAGCCGCCCTCTTCTCGGTCCCGCAAGAGGCGCAACTCCGTCGGCAATGCGTCACTTTTCAAGTCCGACGGGAGCGGGGGAGCAGAGTGGGCAAGGCTCGGGGTGGGGGGCAGTTTCGCCTCGATCACGGGTTCTTCAAGGCGACCGAGAGACGTTAAGAGCGCTGTCATAAAACGAGGCGCAAGCGAGTCCAAGCACACGTTGACCTCGGGGCGTTGCTTTGCCCAAAATGGCTCTTGTTAAAACCAAAACAAATACATCTCCATTTACACGCATTGCAGGCTACTTTTTATTTTAAAGGGGGGGGGGGCGCTACCGCAACGAAATTGCGTCGTGCGTTACAGGATGCACTCGACTTATGCGAGCCTAAATAAACGCAGTTCCTCGTCAGGATGCGTTTCAAGACGAAACAAGCAAACGGAAAATGTCAGCTCCGACAGAATGTTGCCCTTTTAGTCAGAATATGCCAGCAGGAAAACCGCGCATTCCGTTGAAAAACGCGGAGAAAAAAAATGCACGGACGGGAATCTCTGGCGCAATCGGCACCTTCGATCAAAAGAAACACATGAAATCAATAACTACATCCACATCCAGGTCATGTTTCAAATATGACTTTCCACATCTTGACTGTCAGACGAGCATACGTGCTTTCATAAAAGTACCAAACGACTCCGCCTTTGAAGACAACATTACGCAGTGAGGGAAAAATCGGCAAGGAATTGACGTTCGCCCAATTTTTTTTTTCTTTTCAACAAGGCTAAGACTCCTCGCTTCACTTCCAAGAATCTGACTGTAAACTCTCCACAGGCGTCAATGTGAGCGAGAAAGGCCGTTTGTCGATAGGTTCCCCGCGACCGGTCCGCTCTGGCTTCGCGCACGTTAGCGTCACTGAAAATTGTCCAAGCGAAAATAGCAAACAGAGCAACAATGCTTACATTGGTTGCCCTTGCGACTTTCGGGGGGGGGGGGGGGGAAAGCCGCCCCC